CTCCATTCCTGCATACGACTGAACATGAGCCAATTTTGAACTTCCATACTTGGCAGATTTTAGATTTTTGTAATATATTTTTCCTCAGAAACACCAAGACAACGTAGTGCACATATCAATTGTTCACACATCTCTTAGTAAACAGCAGAATGTTTTGTGCAAATGCACAGCAAGATATGAGATGCAGAGATAATTTAGAGAGGCCTCTATAAATTAAACTCCAACTCATTTTGTATGTTCAGTCAACACAATTTTGATTCGGGGCACAAAATTAAGTGGTGTAGTTCCTCCAACTAGCTTATTGTTCCGTGTACACTGTCCCTAATGTGGTACTCCCTCCGTTCAGGTTTACTCTGTGTATAATTGTTCTGTTTTCTTATCCATCCTCGAAATAGGCTTTGCCCCGCCATATTAATATAGCAACCACCCGAAACAATTGTGAGATCATTGTTGGGGAAAACATCACAAGCGCGCCCAAACGACACAAAAGAGAAAGAAGAAAGAAACTAATGTCAACAATGTTGAACCGATGAAAACAATGATGACCTGCAACCGTTGCGCCCTTCGGAGAATTCCCACCACGCTCCTAGCACTTTGAACCGCCGCATATATACCAAGCAACATCTTCAAGAAGAAACGTGACAATGATGATGCTGCTGCCGGACTGGCCACTACCGCTATTGCCTCGCCACCGCCGTGCGAGAACCATCACCGCAACTTGGGGTGGAGTAAGAGCCGCTGGAGAGGGGGCGGCTGCACGAGGTAGGCTGCGTGCGCCCCGCAACCGGTCACATCGCCCATGCCCGACCGCGCAAGCAATAGAACCAGCAGCATGCTAGGCTGTGCCGCCGGCGGGGGAAGGGGCGACTGCTGGGAACGGCGGCCAAGGCGCGCCAGATCCACCATCAGACCGGTAGGATACGGGCAGCGGCTGGGACGGGGGTGGGGGAGTGCCCGCGGCGCGGCTTCGCCGACCGGCCCTCCGGTGGCGACATAGCGGTGGAGGCAGCTAGAGT